GCGCACGCCGACCGCCGCGGCCGCTGCCGCCGCTGCTGCTGCAGTCGGCATCCATCAGCGGGCGGGGGTGTCGCGGAACAGGCTGCTCCGCAGAGCCCGCCGAGGCCCGTTCCGCCCCTCCCGGCGGCCTGCGGGGGGGGCCCGGAGGAGCAGAGGGGACCGCCCCTCGCCCAGCCGGCCGGAGATGGGGACCCCCAGGGCCAGGTAGGCACGTGGGGACCGGTGGTCAGGTGGCGCGGGGGACCCGGGCGTGCTCCATCTAGGCCCAGGCTCTCGCCCTGGGGGAGGCATGGGGATAAGATTGGGAACAGAGTTTGCAGGCTGTTACCCTCTGGTCAGTGTCGGGGGGAACCTAGCCGGTCCACTCACCTCTGCTGTCTCCCCAGCTCCCGGAGTCAGAGGTGGGCTGATGCCTTCCTGTAGAGTGAGCGAGCGGTTGCTGGGCTCTGGAGGCTGGCCCACTCTGTTGTGGAAGGCCACTCCAGCTGTCTCCTTTGGCGGCCCAGGGCTCTCCTATAGCTTCCATGCTGCAGGACAGTGTCTTGGCTGGAGGTTGGCCGCTGGGGACTTCTCACCATCGTCCTTACCCTCTGGTTACAGACCCTTACCCACTCTGAACTGGCTTCCCATTCCTCCTTCCCCTGTCTCCCTGAGCTGGGTGCACAAACTCAGGACTTAGGACCTCTGAGCTGGCATTGTGCTGACCAGTAGTCGTCCTCACTGATCAGAGGAAGATGACTTGTGTGTCAAGATCCTTCACACCTGGAGAGGTCGAGTCCCCAAGAGACTGAGGTCCTGGGGTCAGGGATAGGAGTGCAGGTGACTCCAGCCACTAGGGTATTTATTGGGTGCTGAGGCCACTCACTGCCTATATGGGCCAGAGGGTCCATGGGGACTTTGAAAGGCTAGATAAGGACCAGGGAAACATTCTGGGACTGCTGCCTCTCTTTCTCTGCTGCCAGCCATGGTTCTTGCTTTCCCCCAGAGCTCTGTGATACATTGGTGAGGGAGAGCATTACCACATGTTCCCACCATCACTCTGGATCTCCATGTCACCTCCCCTGCACCCCAAGGTGGGAGTATAAGAGGGATGGATTTAGGCCCTCTCTGGAGCCTTGTGGGGTCCAGCTGCTCCATCTGTCCCTCTCCCTGAACGTTAGGAGCCTTCCAGAATCACAGCAGTTGGGCCAGGTAGAGAGCTGGGTACTGGGATGGTGTCCCTAGAGGCTCCTGTCCCAGGCTACGGTATGGAGAATGGAGGCATTGTGTGCCTGCTGCCCACCCATGCCTCCAGATGGAGCCTATGGCAGAGGCAGTTTGTGCCAGCCTCCTCTCAGCCATGGTGGCCCAGAGAGACTCTGCTGGTCTGTGCGGGCATGGAGCTAGCTTCTGCTGGCCAGCCTGAGGTCCCACCTGCCTAGAAACTGATGCAGAAAATTTATGGCTTACAGAACACAGTCTAGGATTTCAGGAACATAGGAAAGCAGTCCTGGAATAGCTCACTGGGGAGGGCTTTGCCTCTGTTAAAACCCTCCCTGGGCCTGTGGCAGCTTCCTGGGTCCAGGTCCATGAGCTCCTTCTATAGAACCCCACATGAGAACAGTGCTGGGTACTGCAGTTCTCACTGGGTTAATATTGAAAGTGAATCAAGGCCTAGAGAGGAATAGTGACTTGTCCAAGGTCACATAGCTGATGAGCGGGAGAGCCAGCACTAATGCACTTAGGTCTTCTACCACTTGGTCAGGGCTTCTTCTGGCCCAAATGCCTGCTTTCCGACTGCTCTGGTAGTCATCCCATACACAACACTCTGCAAGAGACTGTGCATTACAGTCTGGAGGCTGAAGCTACCTTTTATTAGAGCTTTTCCATTGCTTCTCAGCCCTTGCCCCATGAGGTGAACAAGAGTTGCCTGGTCTGAAATGAAGAGCCTTGGACCCCCTCAGAATGTAGAGCAGAGAGGACTCTGGGTACTCAGAGATGTTCAGGCCTGAGTCTCCAGGGGAGAGTAGAGAGGGTCTCTTGTCTAGACTGGTTTACATGGGCTGGGCCTCTGTTGGCTCCAGCCTGGCATTTTGTTGGTCACTGTCTGGATTTCTCTTCACTGTTTATTAAAGAGAGATGATTATTTATTTATTTTTTTTTAGTCTTTTTTTTTTTTTTTTTTTTTTTTTGAGACAGGGTCTCCCTGTAGCCTCAGCTGGCCCGGAAGTCACTATGTAGACCAGGCCTGTCTCTGCCTCCCGAGTGCTGGGATTAAAGGCTTGCACCACCACACCTGGGCAAGATGATAATTTCAACCTGGAGCAATATCAGTAATTGTACAATTAGAGGGATGGTATTTATTGAGCACTTAAAGTGTGTCATTCCCTGCTAGTGCTTTGGTTCTCTTCCAGTGACCCTGTTTGATAGTATTATTATCTGCTTTTGAGAGATGAGAAACTGAAGCTCAGAGTGCCTGAAGGTTACACAGCTGCAAAGTGTGGGGCTGTCAGAGTCCAGAGTCCCTCCCCTTATTATGACATTAGACCTGGATCAGTGTATACCTGGTAGGTGTCCAGTGGAGATCAGTAATTAGCTGGTGGGCCAGGGCTGATCTAGATGGAAAGATCTGTGTGTTGAGTCTGTCAGTGAGGCAGAGTGGTTCTATGGCCTGAATACTTTCAAGGTCCTGAGGGTCAAGGACAAACAAGTGCCAAGAGGGAGAGGTTAGCATTGGCCTTCAGCTTCCTGGCCAGGATCCCCTAGAAGCAGGGAAACTTCAGACTGCCTGTGCTCAATGGCTGTCAAGAGAGACTAGTGGCCCTGTCACTTGTCCCCTGCCACATTTGGTAGGACTTCAGTGACCAGAAACCACATACATAGAAATGCCCAGGCACCAGTGGGTACTATATCCCTGTAAGCAGGGATCTGTGCCCGGCTGGGTGGGGGTGGCAGCAGACTGGCCCTGCTTTCTTTGTAGGAAGGAGACATATGGATAAGAATAGTAACAGCTAACATTTATTGAGCTCTTACTACATGCCAAGAACTATTTTAATGTCTTACATGTACAACTCCTACATTCCTCACAAAACCCTGTGAGGTAGCAGTTTTTCTTCTTCCCATTTTATAGATCAAAGCTAACCAAGGCTTACTGAAGGAAGCTAGGAGGTGAGGGAGGAAGTGTGGGTCAGAACCACTTTCCTGAGGTTATGCAGGCAGGCCTCTGCTCCTTCTCAGAGGTCATCTTCAGTTTGAAGCAGTCACCCAGTCAGGCACATACCATTCCCCAAAGTCTCAGGTGTAGCTAGGCCAGCTAGACATGGTGACATGTCTGTAATAGCAGCACTCAGGAGACTGAGACAGGAGAATTGCAATGAGTTTGAGGCCAGCTTGGGCTACAAAGTAAGTTCCAGATCAGCAAAGCTAAGTTATATAGTGAGATCTCAGAAAACAAACAGGGAAAAGGCTAGTGAGGTCCAGCAAGTGAAAGTGATTGTTATACAAGCCCGATGAGCTGGGTTTGATTCCTAGATCCCACTGTAGAAGGAGAGAACTGACTCCTGAGAGTTTCTCTTTGACCTCTGAAAGCATTCCATGGCACAAACACAGCCCCCCCACAGACTAATCATGCACACAGACAACAATAATAATAATAATAATAATAATAATAATAATAAAATAATAATTTAAGGATCTGGAGAAATGGCTTAGCAGTTAAGAGTGCTTGCTGCTCTTGTAGAGGACCAGAGTTTGGTTTCCAGTACCCACTCTGGGCAGCTCATAACTCTGTAACTCCAGTTCCAGGTGATCTGACACCCTCTTCTGGCCTCTGCAGGTAGTTGCATGCATGTGTGGGTACATACATGCATATTCACACTCATGCTCACAGAAAAACATTTTTTAAGTCTGTCTGGGCAAGTTATGGGTGGCAGAACCTTGTTGCTGGCCCCAAAGGTAAGAGTATGCTAGTGCAGCTACCTGTTTTAATGCTCAGAGCTATCTAGAAGAGCAATGGCCCCTGATCTGATCTAGATACTATAGGCCAAGTAAAAGTTTAAGAGTAGGGGAAAGGTGCCCGCTGACCCAGGTGGGCTGGGAGGAAAGTGGGTTGCCTGTGAAAAAGAACAGGTGGTGTGATGTGCATGGGACAGAGTCTGGGGAGGAGCCAGAGAGCTGGGAGGGGACTCAGAAAGTCAGCTTGTGCTTCGATCTCTGGGGAAGCTCTGGAATCTTCCCTGCTTGCTACCATCCATGTGGCCATGGGAATATCACTTAGCTGGCTTGGGCTTCAGTTTCCTCACCTGTAAAATGTGGCCACAGGGACCACATAGCTGTTGTTATATAAAGACCCGACATGGTGCTGGCACCTTGCAGCAACTCTGTAAGATTGCTCCGCTCTCCCTTCTGTCTCTTAAATGTCAGGCTGAGAAGTATTTGGGCTGCATGTGAGCATGGAGGCTCTGGGGACCTTTGCAAGGGTTGTTTTGCAGAGGAGCATGATAGACCCGTGTTTTGGGAGGGTCTCTTTGGCAACTGTGTGACCCACAAAGAGGGTAGACTGTGACCTTGCAAAGAAGCCTCATCTTAGGGACTTGGGCTGGGAAGAAAGGAAGCTGTACTAATATGTCCTTCTATAAGTGGCATGTGACTTGCCAGGTTGGAGGAGGGGAATGCCATGAGCATGGGATTTCAGTTTGAGGCTTGGTGAGATGGAGAAGGGCTGGTCTCCTGTCAATCATTTGGTAGGTTGGGCAGTATCTTCTTTGAGCATCTGGCTTTTTTCTTTTGAATGATTTCCTTTGGATATATCTCCATCAGAGCTCGCCTATAATAGCAGCAAATTGGGACTAAATGTCCAACAACAGGAAGATGATTGAGAACATTTTGGAACATCCACTGGTAAAATAATACTCAGTGGTGAACAGCCTCAGAAATTGTCATCTCAGAGCACAGAGCCAGGTATCAGAGAGCTCTTTGCATCCTTTCTGCATCTCATGGTTATGACTGTTCAGTAGCAGAGGTGGGGTGGGTTAATCCTTCCTGTGCATGAAAATGTGAAGCCTGGCCTCTGTTCTCCTTGAGGGCAGGACTCATGTTTTATTCACTATTCTGTTGATGGCATGTTGCTCATGACCAAAAATGCTTGTCCAGTGGAAGAGTGGAAAGGGGAAAGTGACTTGTTTAAGGTCATGTAAATTGTTTTTTTAAATTTTCACGTGTTTATT